ATTAATGCATCTGTACATGGCCTCTGAAGTATGACCCAGCTGTATTAATAAGTCAACCTGCCAACCACCGGCAGGCGGCGGCGGCGGTGCGCAGGCCCAGTCTGCTTCCGCTGTTGGTGCAACAAACCCCTGGCCGCACCTCTTGAAGCTGCTCGATGTCACGCGAAGCATGGAGAGAAGCGGCGGGCGGCGGTAGCGGCGGCAGCTGCAATGACGACAGAAGAGGCCGAGGACAATGGTACTCCTGTAATATATATTTGTGTATTACACATGAGTATACTATGCACGAAGGAATAACAGGCATAGTATGGGCGAGGAAACTGATAGGCCTGAGCTAGAGTCCGTACCAAAGTCCGGCCGTCAGGCCGGACCGGGAGGAAAATCCGTACTATTTTGGGCTCGTCGTGCAAATTTTGTCCGTACCTAAAGGCCAAAACCGGCAAAATCTGTCCTCAGGCCTTCCCACCAATTGTCATGGGTCCTGCTGTTGCACGCAACCATACGAAAGCCTGCACAGGACGGCGGAATCGCTACGCGCCGTCCATTGACTCCCGCAAAGCTGCCTCAAGATGAGCTCCTTAATCATGAAAGAGCTGTCCCCGGGGAGTTTGCACCCAGGTTCGAAAGCACAATGGGCCGTACTTACTCTATTCCTCGCTCGAATTTTCACATAGTCAAGGACTCGATGCATCCCAAATCTTCGTCCGAGAGCTCTCGAGGAGTTCGCGTCGAGGCGGCTCTGCGGCGAGCTGCATGCGCTGCGCTCGTCCTACTTCAGTTCGCCGCCCGTCCGGTCTATGCGAGGAACTGAGATCGGGGTGCGAAATAGTCCCGGGAACGCGCAGTTTGGGACAACGATACTGCCCTGCCCTCGCGACGCCTGTCTGTCACAGCTCTGAGTACTGAGTACTGGTTATGGTGTCAGGCATAGTCTTGTGTAAACATTGTCTATATTAATACCATCTACCGTCGCAGCATAGCTTTTTGTGATCCTGGTCTTGAGGCCGGCGCTGATAGGTGAGTTTCACGCCCTGCAAAACACCCCCTGCCTTGAATTCTGATCTGTCTCAAGGTAGCCGGCGTGTCTGAGGATCTTGTTCGAGGCCGTCTCTGATCTGTAACGCAGCCTGTCTTGGTAGCCTCAATGTGAATAGACGGGTACTGCCCAGCAAACCTAGAGGTGCGTGGCTATAAATCAGAGTTTGAATGACCCGCTTGCCTCAACTGAAGCCTAATCTCTCGTTCGCGAGCAGCACATATGCTCTCCCAACTCATCATCGCAGTATACCTCGCGCTCTTTGCGGCAGCAACCCCACTGCCTGCTCGCAACAGCTTGGCGACGTTATCGCTTGCCCGTCGCATGAACACGATCGGGCCCAAGAAGCTCGTGGAGCTTGATCGATCCAGAGCGAAGTCCCTCATACAAAGGGCCACACAGAAGAGCCGCAAATCAGCATCTCCCGGCGCTGGCGTTTCTTTCCCGCTCGCGAACCTGGAGTCGTTCGAGTATATCGCGACGGTCAGCCTGTCTCTCTGCTCTTGATCGGGCGTTACATGCTCATGTCTGGCCCTCAGGTGCAAGTCGGTAATCCTCCAACTTATTGTAAGCGGTAGCGCAGCCTTGCATAGTCTTCTCTAAAGCCCTTTGCATGGTCGTAGTCAGCCTTATTGTGGACACCGGCAGTTCCAACACTTGGGTTGGTGCCAATTCTTCTAATCCTTACACGCCGACATCTACCTCTTACGATACCGGCGACCCAGTGGTGCGTAGGAAGTTCAGCGATCTGTTAGCGTGCTGATCACGTGATCTAGTATGTTGCATACGGCACTGGCTTTTTCATAGGTAAACACCACCTATTAAACAAACACTGCACTCCACTAAGCATTGGATGTCTCAGGCACAGAGTTCATTGACCAAGTGAGCCTCGGCGAAGGCTTTACGATTTCACAACAATCTATTGGCGTTGCCAACGCTTCCGCTGACTTCAACGGGACAGACGGCATCTTGGGGTGAGTGAAATTGCATACTATACGCTGAAGGACATCATCTTATTCCGCCGGCAGTATTGGACCAACAGACCTTACTGCAGGTTAGCTTTCACATACATCTATTTTGACTGTCTGCTCATACAGCACAGACACCGTCAGGAACAGTGGACTAGTGCCTACGGTCTTCGACAATGCATTTACTCAGGGCCTCATCGACAAAAAGATAATGAGCATTTTCTTTGAGCCGACGAATGGCATCTTAGAACAGAACGGAGAGCTCACCTTCGGTGGCATCGACGAGAGCAAGTTTACTGGTAATATTACCTTTGTGTAAGTGTCACGGTCCCTCTCCCGTTCGCCGTGCATTTGCACAATGCTCAGATACCTGCCTTCAGAAATATAACTACCACTTCTCCTTCCAACCAATATTATGGTATCAATCAGACCGTCCATTACGGGAACACAACTATCCTCGATAACAAAGCTGGTATCGTGGACACTGGTACCTCACTCTTCCTTCTGGCCACTGGTAAGCCACTCCGTCTTGATAAGGTCGTGCAGGTAGTGAATGCTATGGACAGAGGCCTTCAATACGTACCAGCAGCTCACGGGTGGGGTGATGAATGAGACCCTAGGCTTGCTAAGCATCACTCCCCAGCAATACGAGAACCTGCAGAGCCTATTCCTCGAGATCGGCGGCGTACGTCTTCGGTCTCTGGAACTGTCCTTACGCTCAACTCAATGACATTTCAGCGCCGCTTCGAGTTAACCCGAAACGCTCAAATCTTTCCTCGTTCCGTACGTCACCGGCCTTCCTCCTCTGCAGAACTCACTAACTTATGCTATTACAGTTGAACACCGCCATTGGCGGCACTGCAGACAGCATCTACCTTGTCGTCGCAGGTACTGGCACGCCCCTTGGCGAAGGCCTAGACTTCCTTAATGGCCAGGTCATGTTGGAGAGATTCTTCCTCGTCATCGATGCCGAGAACTCTCAGGTGGGATTGGCGACGACACAGTTCACCAATGCCACCACTAACTGAGCTTGCGGAGGGTGTTATCTGGTTTCTCTCGGTCAGGCTTAAGAAGACTTGGACTCATAAAGTTTGAACAAGGACTGTATCTTGACCGTAGAAATGTAATGCGATTAGCTTTAGAAGCGAGCATGAAAGAAAAGCTGCGTACCTGACAGCCATCCTGGCGTACTTGTACCACCCGTACGAACGGATCACTCAACCCTTGAAGGTAAGACCGGCGTTTGGAGTCAAGTCGGACATGCGCACATCGCCCCCTGGCGAACAGGAAGTCTCATGGGAACGCCACTTCGAACGAAACCGTTGCTCAGCTCAATGCCTCCTGACGTCCGGCAGCACGTCGCCCCTTGTGCTACCTAGCGCGATTTCAACCCTTGGCATGACCGACTCGAACGACGCGTAGCTCATGCGCACAGACCACTGACAAGGGTCCTCATGGCCCTCACGTGCGACCTGACGAGTCTTGCGAGCGTAGTGACCCAGATGCAGGCTTTCGAGCCTTGGTGGAAGGACACCTCCTCGCACGGACGTCGGGAGTTCATGGCAGAAATCCGTCGTCTCACGTTCACAGGCATGCATGAAGACATGGTGTGCAGGGACGTCAGGATGCAGGAACTAGATAGGTAATATCGACAACGTGCAAATGCCGAGAGTCTAGTGTCTATATAACGATATGAGCGCAGTAAACTGAAAGCCGAACATGCAGAACTGGACAGATTCAAGAAAACCCGACAGCAAATAACAAGAGTCCGAGCTAGAACAGTGTCCACAGATGCAATCTCACGATGACGACTCGGAGGAGGAATTGAATAAGATGCGCCCGCGCTCGTCCCATACCCACGCCCCGCGCTCCTTGTCGACGTACAGGAGCTCGTTCGCGCCAAGCGGCGTGCTGGGCAAGCCCGGCGCCTTCCACCACTCTGCAAAAAAAGGGAAACACGCCGCGTCAGATTCGTGCGCGCGCGAGGCTCAACAAGGGGGCAAAAGCGCACACGCACCGGCGTACTTCTCGGTCTGGAAGTGGTTGTAGAGGCAGTCGTGCGCGAGCATCGGCGACGCGATGTGCGCCGGGTCCGCGTCGGTGTACGCCTCGGGCGGGAGCACGAACCAGTCGTCGTGGTACATCGGCTCCGTGCGGTAGTGCACCGGCCCGCCGCGCTCGCGCCGGACGAGGAACCTGCGTGCGGCGCCGAGTGAGAAAAGTACCAAGCAATCCAAAAATAATTAAGATTAAAATTAAGATTAGGATTAATATAATATAAAATAATATAACACGCACTTCTTGGTCTGCCACCAGTCCGCCGAGACGAGCTCCTCCGGGACGACAAAGTCGACGGCGTACTGCCGCGTGAACCACACGAAGCCCTCGTACGCGCCCTCGCGGAGCACGACCGCGCTCTCCCTGCCACCCCCAGAAAACAGCGCCTTGCGCGCCTCCCCGGCCGCCGCCGTCGCGCGCCGCTCCGCATGCTCGCGCACCGCGTACACGAGCGCGGCGCGCATGCGCGCGTGGCCCGGCGCAAGCAGGGCGTTCGCCCAGGCCCAGTAGCCCGCGTTCTCGAGCGCAAAGGTGCCGGCGCCGGGGGCGGAGAGGTGGTACTGGCCGAGGACGAGGCCGGGGAAGCGCAGGAAGGTGAGGTCCGTGTGGAGCAGCGCCCAGTTCGACCACTCGGCCTCGTCTGGGTGAGAAAGCGTTCAGCTGGCGTGCTTCTCGAGGAGAGGATGTAGGGGAGGGGAGGGGAGAGAGGAGGGTGACGACGACGTACCGGGCGCGCCCGAGTCCATCCAGGGCTCCTGCAGGAAGAGCGCGAGCGTGCGCACCTGCGGGTGCTTCATGAACTCCTGCGTGAGGTGCTCCGCGTTCCGGAAGAAGGCGAGGTGGCCCGGGACGTAGAGCAGCACGTTCTCGCCGCCCTCCGCGGCGGCGCTCGGGAACAGCACGTCGTACTTGTCCGCCTCGTCCCAGGGGAAGGTGCGCTCGAAGCTGCCGAGGAACGTGTCCATGTCGCACACGCCCCACAGCGGCGTCGCGGGGTGCAGCCACCGCCGAAAGACGGCGTGCCGGAAGGGCCGGAAGTACGCGTGCACCTGCAGGACTTCTCAGTTCGGGCGACGATTTGCTCTGGGGGTGTTTCAGTGCTCACCCTGTCGCCCCAGCGACGCTCGTACATCTTGCTGACGACGGTCTCCCGCTCGAGCTCGGTGCACCCGCCCCAGCGCTCGCACAAAAAGTCGGCGTGCAGACCCCAGTAGTCCTCGCTCGAGAGGCAGATTTCGCGCACGTTGCGAACGCCCGCCGGCGCGAGGCGCGCGTCGCACCCGACCTCGTGCCGGTCGTCCTTGACGAAGAGCACGTCGACACTCGGGTTCGCGGCGACGGACGCGAAGAAGTTGGGCAGGTACAGCGGCTCGTTCGGCCCCGGGTTCCAGATCGCGATGATGGTGATTTTGGGCGCGACCTCGGGGTGGTGGTAGGGCCCTGGCTCCTGACGATCCGAGGGTGCCAGATAGACTCAGAGTTGTACTAGGCGCAGGGTCAGGAGGGAGGTGGGACGTACCGGGCCTCCGAGGTCCAAGATGAGCTCGTCGCTGTCGAGGTACTGCACGTCACCGTATGGACCTGACCGCCTGTAGCGGTAGAAGATGCCGCAAATCATAAGTAGGCTGATGGCCATCACCGAGAGGTATTTCCGCGGCCAACGGGCCATGGCTGCAGGACCGCGTGACGAGGGGACCGGTGGAGGTCAGCAGAGATGGTTGCAGCGCTGTGCTGTGTGGTGGGAAGGTGCAAGTTGTATTTTTTTTTTCGAGCCATGGGGAATAACGGCCGGGAGTGCTAAGAGTCACCGCCCCAGGCTCCTAAGCCCAAATAGATAAGCAACCGCTGAGGTACGATCAGCGGAAACCTGCACTTGACAGATACGTCAGTCATGACCGGGGCGCTCTCAGGTTGGACGTCGCCTGCAGCGCAGCAGCAACTCTGCTCGAGGATGTCCATGCGCAAACCGCGTCGGTGTCCACGTGGTTGCCACAAAGGGCCGACGCACCAAATTAGTTAGCCGTGCGACCAGCGGGTGCGTTTTCGAAGTTACCGATGAGGCACCAGCCATGTGCCTGTAATTCACTCAATATTGCTGCCATCGTTCGTGTAAAGCTCTTGGACGTCTGAATACCAGTCCGTTCGACCAGCCGCTCGGCTCGGGCTCAGCCCTTCTTCGCGGTAATATTCCCGCAATTTAACTCGGGAACAAAGCACTTGGCCGTCTCAGCGACGACATTGTGCGAGATAAGGTGCACCGGTTGAAGCTGTCATACACAGCCTTTCTCATGTCGTCCGGCGTCCCGCCCAAGAATGCTTCTGTCAGCAGCCCAGACATTTGTCGTACGTCGGTACGCGCCGCGCTCGTCTGCCGGATCCCTCGCCTTCCGAGACAGCACAGCGGTTCGCTGGGGTTGTTCTGCCGAGAAGGTCAGACTTGGCGACAGAGGCAGATGGCAGTGGTCCCAGCTCGAAGTCTGCCATGCAGCCTCAGTCTAGGCAAACAGCCGCAATCTAGCATAGAAAGAACTGTTACTCTCCAAGTTCCACGAGTGAGTCATGCTCTGAACGACAGCCTTTATGATGCTTCCTGCCACTCATCTCAGCACAGGTGGATATGTCTAACACGATGCCCGTCAGGTTAGCGTGAAGTGTACAGAAAACGCGGACTAGGGGCGATGTTGGCATGTGGCACTTGAGCGAAGAAAGACACCGGCAACTTGAAATGTACATCATATAGGCGAAAACAGTCTTCCCCTGTCCGTCACTCTAGCACCAGGAAGGATACTGCAGTGATCGTTACGCGATTAGTCGCGAAGCGTACAGAAAACGCGAACCGAGGGACGATGTTGACATGTGGCACTTGAGCGA